TGAGCTCGAAGCCTGCGTTGCACCGCTGCATCCACTTACACGTATCGCAGAGATCTGCGCTGACTTTTTGTCACATTTGGCCTTTTGTTTACTGTCTCCTTGGCTGCGTGGACTTATGGTCGCTGCGTCAGGCATTCAAACGAGTCCTTTACACCAAAAAACCTAACAAAATATTCACTGTTAAACTTTTTTGTCACATCTTTAACTGATTAAGAAACACTATAGATCGCTTTGGTGGTGGGACCATTATGATATGGGGCATCTATCTATCTATCTATCTATCTATCTATCTATCTATCTATCTATCTATCTATCTATCTATCTATCTATCTATCTATCTATCTATCTATCTATCTATCTATCTATCTATCTATCTATCTATCTATCTATCTATCTATCTATCTATCTATCTATCTATCTATCTATCTATCTATCTATCTATCTATCTATCTATCTATCTATCTATCTATCTATCTATCTATCTATCTATCTATCTATCTATCTATCTATCTATCTATCTATCTATCTATCTATCTATCTATCTATCTATCTATCTATCTATCTATCTATCTATCTATCTATCTATCTATCTATCTATCTATCTATCTATCTATCTATCTATCTATCTATCTATCTATCTATCTATCTATCTAGCTCGCAGGTGCCTGAGGTATAATTACTTCTCTGCAGCAGGTGCTCCTGCCTCTCTGACCTGCGCAGCAAAGCGCCACAGGCCAGGTGATGGCATTAGCGCACTAATGTCTATTTTTACATCCCGTCTACTCCATCAGGCGGATCGAGCGGAGCTGAATTACAAGATCACAAATGTCTTTCCCTCGCATGTCAGTCATGATGCCCTAGTGAATATATAGAGACGGGTTTCTGATACCCAGCGGAATCCCTGCCACTGGTTTGATATGTAGTAACTGTGCTGATATCTTTGGAATTAACTGTTTTTTTTTCTTCTTTCTTCTTTTTGTTTCGTTTGTTTGTTTTACAAGCAGGTTTGATTATTTATTTTTATTTTTTTTTGCATACCCTATTATTTTGTCTTGGGTTTGAATATATCCATTCCATTTTTTCCATAAAAGATCATCCGTCAAAACAGATTTCAGATAATGAGCCTTATAGAATAAGGCTGGATGTTAACTAAACAGTGAAGGAAGTTTATGCGCATTTCTTTATGGAGACCTTGTGTCATGACCATAATGGCCAAACGATGTGTGTGCTAAAACGCACAACACACATTACACAGAAGAACGCTCATATTTCATTCCTGTACAGCTGAACTCCAACCTATGGACTTAGATATTAATAAGCAGGAAGTTGTAGGTATTACAGTGATACAAAGATCACAGTAAATATAAATGCTCACCTTACACATAACCAAACCTTGTTGGTCCATTGGATTTAAAACAAACTTAACATTTTGTACATAGAAATTACAGCTTTTTTTCAATTAGCTATCAAAGTCAGAGGTCACATTGCCATATTAGATCATATTTGTTATGTAGATAGTGTTCCTTGATGGTGCTGAATCCAGGCCAACACCCTTTAGCTGATGCGTAATTTGCGGCGCCGTGCGTAATTAACTGAGTCGCCTTCAGAGCCCTGTTTGCAGCACTTTATTTTGAACGGTGCAATACGTTTCCATTAAATGTTATTAAAGCGCAGGGAGTGACGATCTCTCATTTGTCTTGTCAGGACATCTGACAACCTCGTTAGCTCCCATTTTCCCCTGTCAGTTCACAGCGCGACACGGACACTGACTTTAGCCACTCCTGGCAAAGAGAGTGATAAACGTGCCCGTTCAGCTTTGTGCAAAACAGAAACATTATTGTTGCAAGCATAATAAATCCAAATCAATCCACGAGGAAGGTTGGGTAGCAGGTGTCAGTCTTATATGTGTTATGTAATCCATGGCACTGTCTATCTATGATCTAATAGGGTGATGGATTTAGGACATCATATCCCAAATTTGGACTTTCACTGCATCCTGACCATGAATAGCTCAATTTAAAGCGCTGTTCATACGGGCCTCTCACGGGGATAAGATGCTTGACAATTAGACCTGTTTTGAATATTTGTCAACAACAACAAAAAAAAAAAAGGAGCGATCTTGTTGTTTCCAAAAGAAGAAAAGCCAGAAGAACACTTAATGGCACGGGATCTTTCCGCTCCATGCGCTTTCAGATGAAATTCTAGATCGAAGTTCGACTTGTCACGTTGAGCCAAAGTGAACTCCTAACATCCAGGGCGTGCCTGTCTGCTCCGGACAAATTGCATCCAATCACCCCGGGGGAATTCGGCTAATGTCTCGATCCGAGGCCGGAGAGCGTGGAGGAAAAAAAACACACACACAAAACAAATGAAACTCTGCGCACACGGAGCGCGCAGCACTTATTAAAACATTTCACACAGTAGAACCAAATAAATGTGTCTTTGTGTGTGATTGGAGGGGGTAATTAGGTTGCGTTACTTTTTCTTATCAGATCTCCCCCCCTTCAACACACCCGAACTCGCCTGATCCTTTGAGGGGGAAATCACAAATGAATCCATCAGGTATTGAGACACCCAACAACTGTTGCCCCCTTTTATCCATCGTGCATTGCGCACACAGCAGTGCAGATTCTGTAGCAACAATTTGGGATTTAATGCAATCAAAAATTTCATTTTAAAAAGTTTTTTTCACTTTGAAAGCTCCTTTAACTCTGCATGCACCCTAAATTTGGTCCTTCTTGGCGTTTTTCTCCGTATGCCACACTGGACTCAATGGAGACGCTCATTGTAGGACTCGCGGCATAATGTTCAGGATTAAAGAAAGAAGGTCAATTTTTTTTTATTATTATTTGTTTGTATTTTGATCTGAGACGGTGTGAATGAGACCTGCCTCTCCATATGAAAAAAGCGTCACCTGTAGTTTTTGCTTTTTTTATAAGTCGGCGGGTGCCTATAGTCAGAATCTGCTATTTCTATCTGCTCTTTAAACTTAGACTGAAATGTCTTGGCATGCAAATAAGGGCCGATATCATGAATATTTAAGTTTCAGTGTTTCCATATATCCATAAAACGCAGAAACAACTGTTAGTGTGTTTTACTGTGCGTGTGTGCGTGGGAGAGAGACAACGATAGGCAGGGAGAGAGAGAGGGGGAGGGAGGGAGGTGGCGTTGTGCAGCAGCAGAGGCAGCGTGGTGACGGCAGAGGGAAAACCGGCTGGACAGATTTGCCTTCACGCCTGATCTGCTTTTGGAGAGCGGGGCTGTGTGGGAAGGGAAAGGGAGCACCTGGCCCGACCGCTGCATCCCATCTCGTTTTATTGACAGCCTGATAAGCAGGGACCAAGCCGTGCGGTTTCCAGCGCCCATGTTGAGCACCCTGCTGCGTTGCACAGTATCGAGGCCTCTTAATGGCAGCGCATCCAAATAATGGCCCGAACGCAGCCAGTCCCGGCTGGCCCGTACCTGCCCTGCCCCCCCTCCTCCTCCTCTTCCTGAGAGACTGGTGGCGACGCGGTTGCCCATTAACTCACCTTCTTGTTCAAATTGACACAAACATCAGAGGTTGTGAAAAAAAGAGTTTGAGGCTTTTAGCCTGCCTCGCTAAAAGGTAAGCAGAAGCCCGATTATGAGTCACTGATGACAATTTTATAGGGCCAGAGGTATAAAAGGCAGAGACAGTCTGGTTACACCAGCTTTATAAAAATGAACAACTTTTTTTTTATTCTTCTAGTTTCCAGGTGTAAGGTTGGCTTTGAACATATATCAATACCAATCTAGAGAGGGCCTGCCACGTGCTCTGGTGGCACCTGTTGCACTGAGCATGCTCAGACTGAAAAACCCAGTCAAATAATGCTTTGCTTCTTATAGCCTACCCCAGCAAGTACTTCAAATCTAAATCAGAATAATTTCCATTAAAGTTGGATATAATATAGTTTAAATAAGGTAAATGTAAAATTAAATGTAAAACTGCTATACCAAATCTGTTGCTCCTGGTTCTGTAAATCACTGTAGCGCAGCAGATTTGCATCCAGAAGGTTTTATAAGAGCTATTCTGATGGATGCCATTAATATGAGACTGCCTCTCTAAAAGCTGAAGCACCAACACACTTTATTGAGCTTTATTGGGACACATTGTCATAGTGACACTTGAAAAGGTATAAATAAATAAATAAATAAACCACCTCCAAAAACTTGGCTAACTTGTTCTTTTACTGCCCTCCTTTCCACTAACACATATTTAGTTTGAGTTTCCATCCATAATAGGATTTAAATAGTTTTACATTCATTTTAATTACTGCATTTGTGGACATTAACCATAAGAATGAGCATCTCCAGTATATTGCTAACCCTATCCTAACCTTAAATCAGTTCACACCAACTCAGAATCAGAATCAGAATCAAAAATACTTTAATAATTCCAGAGGGAAATACTTAAACTGATTCCTTAATATAAAAAATATGGGGTCCGCTACATTAGAAGACCACTTTGGTCCCCAGCAGGCCTGTTGGTCCTCAGAAGATAAGTAAATGTAACATTAAAAATCCTCTTTAAGTAACTAACAAAAAAAACATTCACACAAACTGTAAATAATAATATGTTGATTGAAAAGTAAGTTCAATAAGTAAATTTACAAAGGTGACCACTAGCCCCTATAAGACCCCCCACCCCCGTCGGGTGCGCCACTGACCCGCATCTTATCCTCTTTCTCTAGAGGAACCTGGGAACAAAAAGAGAACTTATATTTAAATATATTTGATAAAAATCTAACTAAAACACTTTATAATATCGCGGGTTGTCAGCAGAGTCTGGTCAGCTCCACAGAGCTCAGCGCCCAGACCGGTGCGCTCCACATGGAGGCCACCTTGCCCGCTTCCCGGTCCTGCGCTCCACCACTCTCAGTCCAAGGTGTGACGTCGAGCCGTCGCTCCAGCCAATCATTTCCAACTTCAGGCTGATGCTGAAGGGGAAAGTTGCTGGTAAGAGCTGTATATTTTTAACCCCTCCTCACTCTCACTGACATTTCAACTCCACGACGGATCTAAAGGAAGACAAATTTGAATTGTTGACCTTAAACGTTGGAGAGGAGAAATTCTGCGGAGGAACTAAGCGAACTTATATTCACAGGATACACTGATACCGCTGCTGCCTTCAACCCCGGTGAGCTTTTTTTATTGCACTTTTGAAGAGCTGTTGGTGTTTTAAAAAATGAGCGCGGTTTGAGAATATGCATAGATTTACAGTTTCCGAGGAAAAAATATTCTGTATATATATATATATATATATATATATATATATATATATATATATATATATATATATATATATATATATATATATATATATATATATATATATATATCTCAACAAAAATAAAAACAGAAAGTAGATATTTTGTTCCTCTATAATCAAAGCAACAACATGATTCTAAATAGAGTGATCGGAAGGAATTTTGCTGTCAGATTATATTCAGTCTCACATCCAGCGCGCAGCTTTTCCCAGTAGTTTGTGGACATGTCGCTGTCCAGCAGCGGAAATGTTCACTTGCAGGTCTTTTTTTTTCAGATTTAAACCTATGCTTTATTCAGGGAAATAATATTATTGATTTGTGAGGTTAAGTTTAGTAAAAATGTGCCTTCAAAGTGGAAAGGGTCTATCCGTTATTATCAAATAAGCCTATATATTTTTACAGCTCTCCCTTCCTCTTGTTGCCTTAGACTCAGCTTTTTTTCCTTTTTTTTTCTTTTTTTTTTTTAGTTTAGCCTCTGTGTTTCTTTTTGTCACGGGCTAATGTGACACCATTAGACACATAGTTTCTCCCAGCTTGGAGCCTTTTTCCAGGTGAGGGTTTACCAGCTCTGCTCACCTCAAGTATCCTGCAGCAAAGCACCGAGCCATCCGGTGCAGAAACATGAACATTTTTAACTGCAGTATATTTTAGATTTAGAGGATAAGGCAGAAAATTTTTTTTTATTCATGTGTTTGATTATATGATTCCCTTAAAATGCGCTGATAAGAGGAGACGAGCAACATTTAGACAACTAGAGACTATTTTCTTCTGCCATGATCCCTTAGGACAAACTCAGTGTGTGGAAAAAAAGACGCGCCTTCAGCAGAGCTTCCTCTGCTTCTGGTCGCGCTCCACGTGGAAGAGGAACCGGCTGATGAAACCTCAGAGCATTAGAGCAGTTTCTGCAGATTAAGTCCAATGCAACTTATTAAACTTAGCAATGACATATGCAAATAAAGCAACGTCGGTGTCCTCATGCATCCCATTAAAGTGAGTGAATGTGTCAGTCTGAGGATGTTTGGTGAATCACAGTGACAGGAAGAATACAGCCCAGAATACTTCTGAACATATGTTTAAATGCATACAGAAGTTTTCAAAAATAATATGAATGATGTGACATCATTTGCCAATGTCCTGAATTCTAGGCAATAAATACATATTAAAAATGGAAGATGTGGTTACTTTATAAGGAAAAAACAAAACTCTGATAAAAAAAATGGTTAAGCATAAACTTAATGTGTATTTAGCAAATAGAAATAAGAAATCATGTAAAATGTTAAGTGAAAACCTTTCAATATGATAAAATATTTTATTTCATTGCAAAGCATTTTGTTTATTAAAACCTATCCACCTCTTTACATGAGAGACATAATAATGAAAAATTAAATGAAATAAATTTTGATTTTGAATGCAACCACCTGATTTTTTTTGTCATTCCTTGTTTTTAATGATTATCTCTTCTTTAAGTAAAATTAATTGGAAACAGGTGGTTATGTCATAGAAAATCTTAATATATTTTTTTTTAAATAGAAAAAAATATCCTTGACATGCCCTGATAAACTGTGACCTCCAGGAAGGAAGGTTGATTTCGAGAAATAACTACATGTAAGGAGCAAATAAACATTATAAAGCATAACGATGTCCTTAGATTGAATCAAATTGATCTCCAATAATTTCATCACAGTGTCTGCTGAAAAAAAAAACATATAATGAAACTTGTTAGTTTACTCTCCAGTAGATCTCCTTTCCCCTCAGCAATGAAAGAAATGTTTTCACTTCAGATCTGTCCTTATTGTTTTATTTACTTCTTTTATTCATTCATTCTTTCCTCTTTTCTGTATCCCAAAGTTTCCAGAAGGATACAAACAACGCTTTGCCCCAGGGGGGAAATAGTGAGCAGATTAGGGTTCCCTTTCAAGGCCTGTGACATTATTGCTGCTAATCCGAAATGGGCTAATTGCTTTCCCATCACCCCCCTTCTAATTCTTTATACTTTTTATATTTAATTGAACAAACTTTATCTGCTGCAATTTAACAAAACAGCTGATGTAGCTCTAAATATTTTAAAACATCTTTATTAGGTTAAAACTGCGTACTGATTAATATATCTGGAGAGATTTTTCCCAAAAAAAAGAGAGAGAATAGGCCTACAGAACCTCTTAGACAGTGTGAAGACAAGGAATTAGTTGTTAAAGCGGATTTCAAGCTAAACCAAAAAGAAACCAATAACCCATTGCTTTTGTTTCTAAGGAAAACTACTTGACATTCCTCTGGGAATCTGTCTGTCAAAGGAAGGCAGGTTAGTGGTGTGCATTTTTTTTTTGTTTTGTTTTGTTTTATTTGACAGCTGCACCCTGTGACAAGTGAGTGGCAAAAACAAAAGTACGCCTTGGTGTACTTTGGAGAGAGGATTCAATATTTCTCAGACTCTGGAGTCAAATAAAAAAAAGGCTGAAACTGTTTCTGCCTAAAAATTTTCAAAACCTCACAACCGTGCAGCTCTCACTGAGCATTAGGAATCAATCTAACTTTATTTCACCAAAGCTTTATCGATCTAAAGTTTTGGAAAAAATAATGAATATTTAAAGTCCAAACTAAGCTCCTCCTACAATTTAATTGGAACCAAGTCAAGGTCCACTGTGTCACAAACTTCTTACTAGGAGGAGGGGGAGAAGCAGAGGAGGGAGGGATGTTTTTGGTCTAATGCATGTCTAATAGGAGGGGTCATTGACGTAAAAATGTTCTGGACCCCCCTCCTCCTCCTCTTCAGATGATATAAGCTTGGGACCATTCGCTGCAGGCCCATAGGCACAACCACCAGTCTGAGTAAGTAGAAACAAAGCAGCCAGCAGAAACAGATGAATGTGCTCGTTTAGTTTACGGGTTGTTTGATGAGGAAGCACTGGCCAAAGTGTTGTTCCTCGCTGCGGGACCCTCGGTGACAGTTTGAGCCGCTCCTCTCAGCTCATTATCTCGCCGGCCCACTGAGGGCCCCATTCAAGCAGAGCAGGCCCTCACCTCCTTCCCTTCCCTGTCTCCCCCCTTTCTCCCTCTCTCTCTTTCCCTGGCATAGTCGTTTGTCTACTCATTGAACCCGCAGTCAGGAATGCGATGGTTGTTAGGGAGCCCTCTTTCACCTCAAAAGTGTTTTATTGATGAGCTCTGACTTCTTCTACTTTTTCACATGCCAAAGAAAGTCAAGTGTATGCCTCCATGACTTCATTTCAGAGCCCCCCCTCTCACCACTAAAAAAATATTTCACCCCCCTCCCCGTGTTGATTCGTTTCCCATCTCCCATATTTTGACCCTGTTGCAGGCTCCCCTACTTTTTTTTTTTTTATTTATTTTTATTCAAATCTGTCTTCAGCGTACACACAAACCTCATCTCTACCCCCCCTGTTTTTCTTTGGTCGCAGAAAGCTCAGAGTTTACCCACGGACACGTCGCGCAGAGGGGTTGCTTTTGGGTGCGCTGAGCTGTGCAGTAATGGTCCACTCATTCAGCCGGTGCAGTTATGGGGAGCGTGTGGTCATGGCTACGCAGTCATTTGATTTACTTTATTTACAAGCGCGTGCTCTTCGCTGTCAGGAAGCGGGAGTGACGTCGCAAGGCCCCCCCCCCCCCCCCCCCCCCCCCCCCCCCCCCCCCAGTAAAACGCAGCCGAGCTTGCGTAAAGGGGCCGCGCTCTTTACGCAGGGCGCTCCTTGTTGACAGGAGGGGTATGGCTGATCGGGTGGTGCAAAAAAAAAAAAAAAAAAAAAGAATAAACAAAAGCACGTGGTGGGGTGGACGTTTTATAAGTGAATGTTGTGAATTTCACTAGAAAAGTTTGGGGGAAAAAATAACATACAACTTCTGAAAGAAGCGCATCTAAATGGGAATCGTACCACATCTGAGGGGCATCGCCTCTCTGCTGCTCTTTTTTATTTTGGTAAAACTCTCCGTCAGTTCCTCCCCACTTTGCCCACTTCATCTTTACACCCTGATTGCAGCCACCCTCAGGTTGAAGCCATGCCTGCCCGTGATTCCCTGGAAGAGGAATGGATGTTTTTGGTTCACGCAGCTGCTTTTGCTGCAAGTTGGCACAGGGTGCTTTTGCATGGCAAAATGGAGAAAACGACTCCATACTTTCTCTCTACCCAGTTTTTTCTTTCTTTTTCTTCCTCTCTTCTGCTGCCGTGGCTCTGTTTCCCGCTTTGGCTGTGGCACAGGGGGGAAGTGTTTATATGGGGGATGATGACAGAGGTCGGGTCGCGCTAATGGGCCAGTGAAGAGCGGTGGAGGGAGGCGAGGAGAGGAGAGGCGTACACAGCAGACCAGGAACACATAACATTAATACACTTGTTCCATCACCAATCAGCATAGGTGCGTTTATTCTCTTTACCCCCACCTACTTTCCACCACGGCTTTTTCTCTCTCTTCGTTTCCCTCCTCCCCCTTCCACCCTCCCTCGTCTCTCTCTTCCCCACTCTCCCTCATCCCGACTCTCTCATTCGCTCTCTCACACGCCAGCGCACATCCAGCGCCAAACTCCGTGCGTCCTGACATCTGAGTTCACTGTCAATCTCTGTCTTCTTCGCAGGGATACCCCCTCCGTCTCCGCCAAATACCGCTGGAAACTAATTTTTCCTCTTCTAAACTTCCCGGGAACAAGAGATACCAATATCCTGGTCGGCTTTTTCTTTTTTTTTTTTTTTTGGCTTTTTACTTTTTGTTCCATCATTTTGGTGTGGAGAACGGGGCTCTGCAGCCTGTAGTTTAACAAGGTCGGAGGATGCCCCAAAAAGGTGAGATTATAACCAACATGTTTTTTATATTCCTAAATTATTCATCCAAATGTCATTATTATAAAAATATTATTATTGTTATTATTATGTTTACTTTAGTTTGAGGATTAGTGGTAAACTTGTGGCTCTTTCTCTCTTTTTGACTGCGCTGTTTGTCTTCCGATTGCACTCTTTCAAAAAAAATTGTGGCTTCAGCGCCTCAATCGGATTTTATCCGCTCCAAAGTTTTTTTTTTCATCATGTTTGCGTTTAGGTCTTATAGATAGGTTACCGCTTATTTATTGAGGGGATGAATAAAGGGGGGGAAAAAACTACGCTGAGCCAGGACAGTGATCATCGTGGAGAATGGAGCGCAATGACCCGTTGAAGAAAGGTGTCAGATTGATTCATGCAGGCGAGTCACCCAAGCGCTTTAAAAAATAAAAAAAAATAAAGAAAGAATAATTTAAAAAGAAAGAAAATAAAGAAAGTAAAGGAGAAAAAAAGCTTCACGCAGGAAGAATGTTTGTTTGGTGTTACACAAATAAAAAAGTCCTAAAAACTTACCAGCCCTATAAGCTGAGTGACAAAATAATATAACTATTTTATTAAAATAATTTTAAATAATAGATTTTTAAAATAAGATATAAATATAAAATGATACATCCCTATATAAAATACCAAATAAACAATATCAGAGAGTTTTCCAAAACAATTTTAGGGATTTTAAAACAGGTAATCGACTGCTGTTGTCTTTCTTAAACAATATATGCCTAAATTAAATTCTAAGATTTATTTTAAAGATGTGCTTTTATGTGATTTACTAGCGCATTTGTGATTATAAAACAAATTAACTTAAAGAAGAAAAAAAAATCATGCCTGCATTTTAATATCCGATTAATTTCATGATTTTTTTGCACCATTAAAAGGACAATTATTTCAAATAATCTAATATGATCTATTTTTCTGTATATTTGGTGTCAGGTTGAACCAGTGCAAGGCCACTGCTAGAGGACAGCATCCAGAAAACAAAATAAGGCATTTTAAATAAAGACATTGTTGTTCCGAATTACTTTAGTGAAAGAAATGCAGATTAGATAATAGTTGACCCCTGGAACAACAACTTTTGCGCTTTCATCCTTAAATAAATGATTAACTACTCAGCTCTATTACCAGTGAAGTCGCTACAGCTATGCAGTCGCTTTTATAGGGTGATATAAAACCTGAAAACAAATTTAAATCCAAGCTCTAAGTTGGATTTATTTTATCTTGCATGTTAAAATGTGTGTCTATATATTCCGTCAGTTTTGCACGCTGATTGATGAGTATCAGTGTGAAGGAATCTGCATTTGATTAATGACAGAGCAGCTCATTTGTTAAAACATGCTATAATCTAAAAGTAATGGCGGCCCCTGCTTGCGTCTTCCCAAACTTGTCTCGGCATTTACAAGCATGTCTATGAGAGACACCTCCTTCTTTCTTTTGCATTCTTCCTTTTTCTGAACACAACACAGCCAGGCACGGAGGAGGAAAATGAAAACTTCAGACTTCTCCCCGGCCTGGCCCCCTTTTTTTTATCGGTCCCCCTCTCCTCTCTCAATCTTTTTCAATAGCTTCTTTTCCGCATTTGTCTTTTCCAATTGAGCGCCCCACTGCGCTCTTGTGTCGTTAGAAACCCGCTTTACAAACCGCACCAGCAGCACCCAACAACCACCAAGTATTTAGAAGAAGAAATTACCTTTTGATTTTACTATATAGCCAAAATATATTTTTTATTACTCTATAAGAGTGGAGCATGAGGGGTAGTGGGGTTATTATGTGTGTGTGTGTGTGTGTAAGAGAGAGAGAGGGAGAGGAGTGTGTGTGTGTGTGTGTGTGTGTGTGTGTGAAAGCTCCTGGAGGGGGTGGATTCATGCCTCCGGCTCTTTGTATTAATCTGAACTTGTTGGTGTGTTTTAGTTGCGTGTTTCTAGTCGCGCAGGCCGAGTTTTCACCCCGGAGTTGGAGGTATACAGAGAGGAGGGGGTGCAGCATTGTTAGGGGGAGCAGCAGGCTTTGTACAACAGCTCTGTACCCCCCCTTCCTGCTCTGGACTTTTGCAGGGCAGAGAGGCGAGGTAGACAACGTGTGTCACTGTACAGTTCCTACATCAAGTGTTTTTCTTTCTTTTTTCCCCCCTTTTTTTTTAATTTAGGGGGGTGTTTAAAGGCCTCTTGCTGGGACGATAAAACCTGATTTCTTTTTTTAAAACCTTCACAAAATAGAAGCACTGAGAGGAAAAGTTCTGTTAAAGAGTTACACTGCAAACAATAGAAATCTAACAATTTTTTTGCTTAAAATAGGGGCATTTTTCTTGAATTGAGGGGGAAAGGGAGATACTTTGCCAATTGAACAATACAAGTTACATTTAAAATAAGAAAACAAATTGTATTGTCTAATTTCAAGTGCATATTATCAAATAATTTTATTTTAAGAGTAAAAAATACTAATTCCATTGGCAAATCTTCTAATTAACCTGCTCACATTAAGGGTAAATAAACATTTTTTACTCATTTCTAGATCGTTTTTTGCAGTGCAGAGCCCCACTGGTTGTTAGCGTGTGTTTATTTTGACAGGTGCTGACATGTATGTTGTTTCACGTCAATGATAAGTCATTTATTTGGCCACAGAATTTAGTAGGTTTGAGCAGATCAGTGTAGCTGCTGCTGTCCTAATGTGTTGTTCTGCTCTGTCCTATAGGGAGACATTAAGTAGTGAAAGCGGGAGATGATTGTCTAAATTGTTATAGAGTGGACAGTCAACTCTTTTCCCAGGCAAGTTTAATTAAATCCACATATCTGAATATATATAAATACAAACATGCAATCAGGTTGTTTAAAAACAATTTTGCATTTGCACATGTAAAATAACAAAAAAAAAAAAAAAAAACGAAAACAACAACAACAAAAAATCTACTTTAACAAAGAGATAGCTGTCAAATTCAAATCTAAAGAAAATCGAAATTTTATTTTAATGCTAAAATAATTTAAAACGTAAAACAAACGAACAAACAAGCAAAGTATATTTATAGGAGATCACTGAATCTTGTACTAACCAGTTTTGTTGTTTTCTTTGTGATGCGTAGAATACCACAACCAAGCCACGTGGGAGTCTGGCGTAGCCTCGATGATGCAAAACAGTAAGTTTTTTTCATGTATCTCCATTTTTTTTTTTATTGTGAAAATTATCATTACAGCCGCTGCTTTTTAATGTGGTGGCATGGAAGCGACACCCACAGACATTTTTTTGCTCTTTAAAAAGAGAAATAGAAGGAAAAAAAACAAACTAAAATATATTTATTCTTGCAAACAGGGAATACATATGATTTGCTATTTTTGCCACTTAATTAGAAGTAGATGTTTTCCCCTTATAGCTCATAACTGTCTTTGCAACAATATGTATTGGCAAAGTTCTGATTGAACAAGTTAATCAAAGCCGTGACTCTCCAGAGAGAGAAAGGGGGGGTTGGAGGTGGTGGGTCGAGAGGGAGATTTTTTGTTTCTGCTTGAGTTGGTATTAAATAATTGCACAGCCGTCTGCATTAGCGTTAGAGCTGGCTGCCAGGGCTGCATACGAGATGAGCTCTGCAGAGAAGAGAGCCCCACATGAAACACGGGGAATGGCAATAATGTCTTATGTAGATTAGTCCATATATTCCTGCAGCACAGACAGCATGAACTAGAAAACGAGGAGGAAGGAAACAAAAGCTCTTATTTTAACCAGTGGAGACTCAGGATAAATAATAAAAATGATATTGTTGTGGGTAAAAGGTAAAAGAAAAAAAAAAAAGCAAAGATAAAGTTGTTAAAAGTTTTATTTCTGGTGTGTGTGCGTGTGTATGTTGAAACATTAAAAGGATAAACATGAAACATTTTCTCTCTTGCTGCTGGACAAGAGGTGTATGACATCTGTGATGAAGGTGTGTGGAATAATTTCATTATATTATAATCCATATACCTCGATGTCTGTGCTGTAATTTGTGCGCATTTTGATACAAAACATATTTGAATCCACGTGGATTGTTGATTCCCATGGAAATAAGGAGAGAAAGTAGCCGCGGTGGTGGGATTTTTTTTTTATTCTATTATTATTGTGTTTTTCCTTGCTTGCTTTGCCAGTGGTCTATTGCAGAGATGATGGGGGCCTTATCAAAGCTGTGTACAACAGCCTTTGCGCTTCTGCTTTGCTGCGGATTGATGTTAATGGGATGCTCCCCTGGCTTGGCGTGTGATGTCTGCTGCGAATTTGCCGAGGAGATATCACTGAGCCCGGCCCTTTGGGTTGTCTAAAGGTCGTGGTGGCCTCGTCGGCTTTTGTGCTAATAACTCCTGGGTGTACATGGTGGGGAGCGTCCAAATTGACACCATATGTTTTCCTATTTGTCGACTTGCAATAGAATACTAGGGCGCGTAATCAGCGCCAGCGGGCGAGATCGACTGCGGCCACTTCAGGGAATTGCCGCCATGATTAAGACTTAACCTCAGAAGCAGGGAGAGGGGAGTTTGATTTTTTTAAATGTGAATTCCTTATCTGACGGTTTTATTGATCAGGAGGATTTATATGATGGGTATAAATCAGAAGTGATACAGTGGTGGAGGAGAAGCAGCGCGGCTTAATGTGGAATAGGCCAATTTCAGCGTAAGAAGTCCATTAATTCCACTTAATCCTGGAATTACTGAAGAGCAAGAGGGATGATAATGGATTTACCATCAATCAGATCCACGCTGGGAGATTATTACACGTTGCGGCCAAGAGGGATGTGTTGCTCAGTTAAACAGGTTTACATCCAGTCATGTATAAAAGTTTTTTTTTCTCCCTTAATATAAAGTCTGCACTCATTGCCATGTGGATGTTGCACACCAGAGTGAAGACACCCACCGACTGCACACAACAGGACTGCAGTGGCTGTGAGCATTTGTTGTCAAATACAAACAAGGGGGAGGAAGAAAAAAAATGCATGTCACTTTTAATATGTTAAAAATCCAGGCGCGCCCTCGTTTGTGTGACCGCGCGTAGCCCCCGGCCACCTTAAAAGGAAGTCTCCCTCCGAGGGTAAAGGAGTAGCGTCCAATTTTGTCTGAGTGATATCCAAATGCAGACAGAAAGGGTCGTTTTATCATGCTACTATTTGTCGTGACGATGCGATTTTCAAAAGCGGAGCGGTGTCATAAAGTGACATGCCTGCCACAAGTGCTCCAACTGATCTTTTCAATTAGCCTCCCATGCATGATCCGAGGCGACTTCCGCCCATTTCCAGAAATTAAGCTCAAACTTGACGTGCAGCTAGCTTTATTTTAAAGACAAATGTCAGGCAGGCTCATCATATTTCCCCCTCTTCTATATTTGGAGCTTATTTATTGCTAAGGAGCCTCTACTCCCGGAGTCAATGCACCGGGCGGCAGCGCAGGGGAAGGGAGCGGAGAATCAGAGCGCAGCGCAGCGCAGGCACTCCGGGGAGTCAGCTTTCCTATTTGGCTTCAGGTTTGCGGGTTTATTCTTTGCTTTACAGCGTTGCAAAAATAAGCAGGTTTAATAAGAAATGTCAATATATGAAATTAGACTTTACAAGAAGAAAACAATCGCTGCTTTTGGAGCTTGAATCCCACTTTTTATTGCTTTTGTGCGCCTTTTTTACAGCATATTTTGTGCGAATTTTTACAGAATATACTGCAGATTCAAAGACTTTTAATTCGTAATGCCGTTTAAGAAAATAAAATTGAAGCATTTTTTTCATTTTTGAGATTGTCAGTGGAGTCGATTATCATTTGAAGGTTATTATTGAGGGGCTTTGATGGTCTTTGTGAGAGGATGGAAAAGTTTGCCGGTTTTGTAAAAGGTTGGTTAACATTTTTTTAAGGTAATTGATCGTTAAATACAACTTATATAATAAAATAGCTAATGAAGATGTTTTTTGGCTTAGTTTGTGTGACGCTGCTGTCATTTGACTCCTGTTCTGCATGTGTCAGCTGTATAACTGTGCTTTATGAGGGAGGAGTGCGCTCTTTACGCGTTATATTGGAAAGGTTTTCTTTCAGTTTGACTGTATGCTGCCTTTATGTTTCATCTGTATCTCGGTTCTCCTAAATAGCTTAAGTCACCCTGCTCACCATTACATGAAAATCACCAGTCTTTAGTGTTACCTGCTTCTGTGCTGCTCTGCGCTTTGGTGACTCCGATGCGTTTGTCTCCATGTAGGTCACAGTGGCGTAAACCAGCTTGGTGGTGTGTTTGTTAATGGCAGACCGCTGCCGGATTCCACCAGGCAGAAAATAGTTGAACTTGCTCACAGTGGCGCTCGACCCTGCGACATCTCCAGGATATTACAGGTGAGATTCTAGTTTGTCTGTTTAATTATTTTTTTTTAAAAGTATGAATAAAACATATTTAATACAGACTGTATTCACAGTCTGATGATGATCTCTTGGAGCAAACTAGAAACGAAGCAGCCCCTGAAAGATCATTTAAAACGATTTTTTTCACAGTTTCAAGGCAGTAAAAATATAATTTTCTCACAACAAATTTAATTAGAGCGCAAGGGGGAAAAAGGAAAGTAATCTGCCTGCTCTTTGATAGAAAAGATGCCTAATGTACAATTGAAGGCATATTTTCTGTGTTTGTAGACCCATGATGAAGTCCAAGTGCTGGACAGTGAAAAGGTGAAACTTATTTGAGCCATCATAGATATTCCATTAATAGTTATAAATAATGTATGTGAATTGTGTCTTTTGTTCCCCGTCCAGGTGTCCAATGGCTGCGTGAGCAAGATCCTGGGCAGATATTATGAAACTGGCTCCATCAGACCGAGAGCGATAGGCGGCAGCAAGCCCCGCGTCGCCACTCCGGAGGTTGTCGCCAAAATCGCGCAGTACAAACGGGAGTGTCCGTCAATCTTCGCCTGGGAGATCCGCGACCGGCTGCTGTCGGAGGGGATCTGCACCAACGACAACATACCCAGCGTAAGTGCGTTGACTAGGAGTGTGTGTGCATGATTTCATTTGCTACAGTGAGTTTTTCCCCCCATGCAGTGGAGGAAAAAGAGATGGGCACCCATCCATTCAGTCTTATTAAATACACTGCGTTTCAAAGTGGAGGGGAGGGCAGACTGTACAGTGTGAGATCCCCCCTGACATGCGCCGGGAAGGACCGTTTTTGCGCTTCATTCCCTCTAAGCAAGTTTTAAGATTATACCCCCCAATATGTTGTGAACTCAGTGGACATCTTTTTTTTTTTTTTTTTGCAGTAACACACTGATTGATCCAATTCCTCCTCTGATTCTAATCCTCAGTTTGATCATTTGTCATTCAGGTGTCATCAATAAACAGAGTCCTCCGCAACCTGGCGAGTGAAAAGCAACAGATGGGCGCAGATGGCATGTATGACAAGCTGAGAATGCTCAACGGTCAGACAGGAACTTGGGGGACCCGGCCAGGCTGGTACCCGGGAACATCAGTGCCAGGGCAGCCCAACCAAGGTGAGCCTCATTATCACGCAGTGGCTATGGAGACACCTTGACGCATAGGGCTGTTAGGCAGTTTTTATTTCTTGGTGATAATGATTTAAGTGCAGAGCGACCGCTGTAACGTTTGCTTTTTGATGTGTCCTCCTAACAAGACTCCCAATTAAGGGTTTATCCAATAGAAATAGCCGAAGGCTATGGATGCAGCCTGAATACCTTTAGTGTCCCTGACAAGGATGTGCGTGACAGCGGCCATGTCTTTTCAGTAGAGGTGTCCACCAAACAGCCTGCACTTCCTCTCCTTCGCTGATGATGAAGAGGAGGAGGCAGAGCCGCTGATACCAGCACAAAGGAATGTTTGCCTTCACACGCAATGATTGGTTATGGGAACGGGCTGCACTATGTGTAATTGCTCATTAGAGGGGGGCTTTGTGTCTCATTATGGCAACACGCAGAAGCGTGTAGATAGACTGTAGCGCTGCTGTGGAAATGTTCCACTGCAGAGGGCTCTGTGGGCCCACACCTCACAGGCCCAACTTCATGCACAGACACTAATTTATTTCTTTTAAACCCCAAAACTATTTAAGCGAATTTATTATTATTATTATTATTTACGCACACCACAAAACAACGACGTTTGGAATTCAGGAAACGCAAAGGAATTCTAAGGAACAACGAGCATTGTTAATATCAATATCATGATTATTTCTTATGTGTAATTCATCTACAAAAAAAAAAAATAAAAAAATAATAATAAAAAAAAAAAAAAAAAAAAAATATATATATATATATATATATATATATATATATATATATATATACATGACAGTCATAACATAGCAAAAATATAACAAGAAAAAATAATAACATTCAGAGTGAAGCTATCATATAAAACCATAACAATGACAGTAATACAACTTATATTCAATTTTATAAAAGATATGCAGAATAACTATAATATTAAAATTTTATAATAATAATAATAATAATAATAATAATAATAATAATAATAATAATAATAATAATAATAATAATAATAATAATAATAATTATTATTATTATTATTATTATTATTATTATTATTATACATATTATGGTCATTATTTATTTGCATTTCATAAGCTTGTCTCAGGGGATCTGAAATATGTTCTCCATCAGTCAAGCGGACGAAAGACATAAAAAGGTTACATGGAGAGTGACATGGGCCCCAAACAGAAGACAGCTCTATATACCAAAGACTAAGGAATAAAAACCTCCGCTCCGATCTTTCCCTTTCATCCTTTTCGCCTTCTCCTTCGCTGCGTATATGGCTCTAAATCCCATCTATAGGATTTAGTTTCTCACTTTCTCTTTCAGTTTTAAGCGGTTTCTCAAGAGTGTTTTGATCCAGTCTCAGCAGCTGAAAGGTGCCGCAATTGGTTCAGTATCTCCTTTTTTTTTTTCTTCCTCTTCTGCGGCTGCTTTTCCGCCTGACTGGTTGAGACACCGCTATACTAAAGAATGAGTTTATTTCCCAGCGCTTTTAGAAAGAAAACAAAATCCCATCCGAGCGTCAGTGGGTCTGGCAGACGAATAATAGCTGCACATTCGCTTCTTTTTTGGTGGATTATCCGGAGCGAAGACCCAAATAGCGCGGACGCAAATCATAGATGAATACCTTGTTTATTATGCAGCATTTATCTCTGACATTTTTACATAATCAGAGCCATTCAAAACCCCTCAACTTTTCCAAGATGATCTGGAATTATTTACAAAAATGAAACATGTTTTATGTGACGGGGTTTGCAGGATCCAAATGTTCCAGCATGGCTGCAAAAAGACGCATGACTTTACGCCAGGGATGCGCATCGTTGAGATATTACATAAACCTTCCTCCAGTGGCGCACCCGCTGCTTAATTTCGCATTAACTTCTCGGTGTGATAATGATGTCCAACAACAAGACAGACATTAGTCGATAAGCCTTGCCCTGCAACTGAAGGGGCCTTTAGGGCCCACCGCGGACAAGCAGGGGCAGTGAATAGATTGGCCCTATTTCGGGTTGTTCAGGGGGTTGCATGCTCTCTCCTCACTCATTTGTTTCCAATTGAAGACAGAAATCCTGACTGGCGTGTAGCTGGCCGGGGGACGTGATTAATGATGGTAGTGGATAAGGGTTAACACACTGGACTCAAAGCTCTGTTGACTGGGATCCTCATATGCACAATGCCAGATCACTATAGCCTGCGCGCCTCCACAGAGAGGGGATCCTTTTGTCACCCCTCTCCACCTCCTCCTTCCATATATTACACCCACCGAGTGCACGTCCCTGGCTGTGTCCATAGTATAATGGTCCCCCTTACTCCTGGAGGCATTGTATCATTCTGAAAAGCGTCTTCTCCTATTCAAAAGTTGGTGGTCACCTCAATGGCTTTACCAACGCCCATATGGGAGCGACCATTGAAGCAATGCTCTGTCCTAGAAAACAGAGGGGATGAAGTGGGGAGGGAGGGGGGGCTGCAGAGTTTGGGGTTTTAATACATTTCATAGCCCCTGAAAAGAGGGTGGCCACATCTTGACACATTTCTCTTAACCTTTTGAGAACACATTCATTGTTGGGATGCGATAAGTGCACAGGGCCATCCTGTTTTTCCCACAATATTTTATAAACACTTTTTTTTTTTACACTAACTCTCCTCACAGTTCCTAGATTACTGAGGAGGGCCTCAATAAAATCGCAACACTAGGAGGAAATTGCAATAATTCCTCCAATTTTCAATGAAATTAACCATGATGGTTGGGGAAAGGGGGTTTAATTAATTATGTAGCACAGCGTTCTGTACAATTAGCTGCAGACTCATGCAACACCATCATTAATTATTCAATTGGATTCAATTAATGTATATTTCCATTAACGTTGATTCCCCTCCCCTCTCATCTTCTCTCAGATGGCTGCCAACAACAGGACGGCGCAGGAGAAAACACCAACTCCATCAGCTCGAACGGGGAGGATTCGGAGGAGACGCAGATGCGCCTGCAGCTCAAGAGGAAGCTGCAGAGAAACCGCACGTCTTTTACGCAAGAGCAGATCGAGGCGCTGGAGAAAGGTGCGAAAACAAGTCGGTTATTTTATCCGATCGTATAAAACAATAAAAGGGAAAATAATCCCGATCATAAGGGAATAATAGTCTGAGGGGAGAAAAAAAGGGAGCTTTTTTGCACTTTGGATGCAAATGTGTTGTAATAATATCGCAAAAAATAACCATACATCTTTGCAATAATTACTCACGTTAGTGCTTGACTCTGCTCTTCATTGCAGAGTTTGAAAGAACGCATTATCCAGATGTTTTTGCACGGGAAAGACTAGCGGCAAAAATCGACCTGCCAGAAGCAAGAATACAAGTGAGTGTCTGGGCCTATGCTTTGTTTTCATTCACTACTGAAAGCTTTCAGAACAAATTATATATTGAGGTCTCCGAGTGGCACAGATTTATTATGCATATTAAACATAATAAATTTCGTTCCGTTTTCTAATTTTGTATTAAAGGTATGGTTCTCAAACAGAAGAGCAAAATGGAGGCGAGAGGAGAAGCTGCGGAACCAGCGCCGACAGGCCAATAACTCCTCCAGTCACATTCCCATCAGCAGCAGCTTCAGCACCAGCGTCTACCAGGCCATCCCGCAGCCCACCACACCGGGTAGGCCTAATAAAACCAAACCTTCAAAATTAAACTTAAAAAAGATAACATTTAATAGTTTTTTAATTTTTAGAAGGATCAACACACAGGTTCAACTTTGACTTGTGGTTAAAATTCCTGATTTATTTTTTTCTTTGCAAAAAATTTAAACCATAGAAGAACAAAGCATCTTAAATGTACATGCTTTAAAATTTTCAAAAGATCTGAGAGAGTGAGAAGAATTCATAAGGAGCAAAGACTTTTTTTTTTTTTTTTGCATAATATTGCATCTCCAACTCTAAATCACAACATAGAAAAAACGAAGAAAAATCCTGTTTTGCAGAATCAAATTTTAGAATAACTTCAATTCAAAGCAACTATATTAAAAAATGTATTTCTGTCTAAATCTGCATATTGATATTTATGCTTAGTGACATTCTAGCTCACTCTCCTCAAATAAAAGTCATTAAACATCTACAGTCAGCGACACGTTTAACCATCTGAAATCATGCAAAATCTGTTTAAAATATCACTAAACGGTAACATGACGCTCAGTCTGTGTGGACTGATATAATAAAAGAGGCTGTGCGCTCTAGTACACTTGAAGAAAAGCCATGCTTCTCTTTTTAATGCATGAATGAGTAAAATCTCACAGCTGACTTTCTGCGTAATTGCAGAATAAGGCAGGAGGGCACACCAACAAAGCTGGAGCTCAGGCCCACAAGTCAGTCACCTGAGAAGCTCTACAGTATCTTTCTGGGCCCATCAGCATGTCAGAATAAGAACACAAATGAGATGAGCTCTCATGACCATAGAGCAGCATGTGTTTGAGCACAATTTCTGTTTTTTTTTTTTTTCACCCATTTTTCCTCTTAATCCCCTTACAGTGTCTTTCACCTCGGGGTCAATGCTTGGAAGGCCTGACTCTGCACTTACAAACACCTACAGTGCGTTGCCTCCCATGCCCAGCTTCACCATGGCCAACAATCTACCTATGCAAGTAAGTACAGACCCAGTTTTATTTTGAGATGATTTAGTTTATTTCCATTGTGAAAGCAAACCCACCCAAAGTAAGTCCAAAACAGACTCCCTCAAAGTCTTAAAAAGAACAGAAGCAATAAAGAAAGACTTTTATGACAGGGAAATCTAATAAATTGCAGCATAAAAAAGCTATTAGAGACTTCTAAGCTGAAAATATGGTTGGCTAAGCTAATAAATAATTTTTTCCTCGTTTTATAGCCCAGCCAGACCTCCTCTTACTCCTGCATGCTGCCTACCAGTCCGCCTGTGAATGGGCGGAGCTACGAAACATACACGCCCCCTCATATGCAGGCACATATGAACAGCCAATCAATGACCACTTCTGGTACCACCTCAACAGGTAGGCAGAAAATTCATTGTTTACCAACATCCTTATGGGAGCTAATTGTAGCACTGTGAAATATCTGCCACCTCTCCTGTAATTAGGGGGTACTGCATAGCCGTCTCTGATTCATGATGTTTCGCTGCGGCTTTACCTTCCCATCCTGTCTGAGAGACTTCCATCGTTTAGACGTCTCAGGGTCTATCTGATATCATTTTCTCTCTTGGAGCTGCAGTGGGAGCTCTGTTCATTTCACTGCCACTGGGCCATCATGTCAGCCCCACGACTCAAACACATAGTTTAGTTCCACCCCATTAGGGTGCTGTTTCAGAGTGCCATACATACTGGTTATAGTCATGAAGAGTTAATCATGCATAACCGCATTTCCTCTGTGCTAAATTGCTAATTAATTTGATTCATTTGCTGTTGTACTCTCTCTGTTTAAATGCCATCGCCATGGCCTCAATTTATCGAGCTTGCAAACGTTTCACAGAGCAGCCGTGTGCAGAGCATTGTGACTCACCGCAGCCCCCCTCCCACCCCATGCTTGTCCACTCATTTTTACAAGCTTTTAAAGTACAGCACTCCCTCCTGGTGTCAACTCTCCATTCATCTGTTTTCGAACTCCAGATATCTCTTGCTTCACTTCTTTGCAGATGGATTTCTTTTTTTTTATTTCTTGATTTTGTTTCTGCAGGACTCATCTCTCCTGGAGTGTCTGTCCCTGTCCAAGTCCCAGGGAGTGAGCCTGACATGTCTCAGTACTGGTCAAGACTACAGTAGAGAGAAGAGCTACTTCACCCTGTAAGCACCCACTCCACCATCGCCCTCCGGCAGTGCTCCTCACACATACACAGCACAGGAGAGTGGGGGGAAAAAAGCACGAGAGGGTTGAGGAAGAGGAAAGAACGAGAGGGACTCTGGGAGAGCCTTGGGACGCCTGGGCTTTGTTTCCCCCTGCTGGGACAGTGTGCTGTTGTGTAACTCCAGGCACATTCAAACCCGGACTTGGAAGAGAGACCAACAGTGGAAAGAGAGAGAGAAAAAATGGACCTCTGTAAAGTGCCCGGTGTTAAAATTTTTATGGAACAAAAACTTATCCGTTCTTTTTCTATTTCCAGCTTCAGTCATGTTCCCCCTTTTTTTCTCTGATGTCTTTGTAAATGGCCATTTCTATGTTAATATGAAAAAAAAAAAGAAAAACAAGATCAAGTACTGATAGATGGACTGCTAGAAAACCATGTTGGTTTTGCTTTTTTCTTTTGCTAAGGAGGAAGCTGAGAGAATCTGCCATGACTATCTTCTAATCTGCTTATATCAAGACTTTCTACCAGCCTTTTGCATGGCCTCTGGACGCATATCATTATAGATGAAAAAAGCTGGAAGGAAGACTTACTGTGAGAGAAAACCCACCCCAACTATTTATTGATCTTATTTGTTACAAATGGATATTTAGAGGAGGGAAACTCTAAGTCAATCCACCCACTGAGGCTGTGGTGGCCTCTCTGATATGGGGCCTTGCATTTATTAGATTGGGATCCTATCAGCAACTCCAAGCGTGCAGAGAAGACGCATCCTACAACACATGTCGGACCTCCTGCTTCTTTGGCTGGATTGATTCTTAAGATTACACCAAGAACATTACATGTGGAAAACAGGTGCCGCAAAAAAAAAGAAAAAAAAAAACCTTCACGAAAACATACCCCTCCGCCCCAACACCTGTATTCTGTAAATGGTTGACTGCGTCTTCGATATATTCCAGTTTGTTAATGTCCAAATGTAAAGTACTTGTCTTCCCTTTTTTTTTGGAAATCTTCCAGAAAGATTTCTCCAATAAAAGTCGATTTCAGTCAACATCCCCAAGAATATTCTATAAATGTTCCATGCATCATGAACTACATTTCTTTAGGGTCAGGTACAATTTGTCTCTTAGGTATAGTTGTAATATAGTGTCCTATGGTCAAAAATGTGCAACTAGAAATATTTAATTCCTATAATTATGATTAAACATTGCTTGACAGAGTTTTAAACTTAAGTGTTTGGCAGTTGTTTACAAGTACATATCAGATCTAATCATTGTTGATTGTAAAACAGACCAAAGCCTTTGTATTTCATCTAGAACACAATCTTTTCATTCTCCTCCCTTTCTTAGATTTTACTCTTGTGTTGCAAAATTTTGTGAACATGTTTTGTTCAACTACATAGGCTTCGAAGACTGCAGTCAAAAGCCCTGCAGTCCTTATTTATAATTAAAAGACCATGGGATGGGGTTTGTTTTGTTTTTGTAGCATCATCTGTCATCATGCTATTTGAGTTCTGCATTTTTATTTTTGGTGTGTGCGTAGAACATGGACACATACCGGGGTTTACGTCTGAGCATTGCTTCTGAGATAAAACACGCTGTCTCTTAAATATTTCAATTTAATTTTATTTAAAATGGAGCTTTCTAAATGTATTTTGTGAGAACTATAAAACATTTTGTACAGTAAAAAACAACTGTGTCTTAAAGAAAGCTTTTTTTTATTACCATTTTTCTTGGTGCATATTGAAGAATGAGTGATTACTGCATGTTCTATCATTCCTAGTGAGGCAGCTTTTTTGCACACAGTGAAATCTCAAATTCTCACCAAAACAAAGGTGTCCAGAATAACAAACCTCTCCTGATGTATGGGGCTGAGCTGAGTCGACACAGACCACACAACAAAACACCAGCGCACAATGAGAAAGGTCAAGCAATTCACCATTGCTGGCTCTTGTTTTAGTGGAGTTAAGATGGCTATGGAAAAAATACAGAGAAGGGAGGAGAGAGAAAAAAGTTGGGAAAAGATAGCAGTCGGAGCCTGGAGCGAGGCAGAGAAGCGATTGTGTGGCAGAGTGAGTTATTTTGCTTCACTTGCTCCATCAGTGGGGGGGAGGGGGGCCGTGTATGGATGTGTGGATTTAAAAGAGTGTGTGCAAGCATCTCAATAACGCAAAGATAATCTGGAAAGGAGCAGGGTCAGGTAACATTCACAGCACCAAACAGCCTGCTGAAGTGATTAATAGAATTTACACGTCTTCCTCTTTATTTAATGGTCCACTTCCAAGTTAGAGGATTGGAGATTAATCAGATTTTTTAGAGGATATGCCATTTCTCTATTTATTTAATCCACTTTATCTAACTAATAGAGCAGCAGGGTTTTCATGTGTGGAGAGAAGGAGAGAAAGAGACAGATATGTAAGATGGATTTAAATGCAAGGGGGCAATTAGTGAAAATCTAAATAATGCAAGAATGAAGTGGTTTAAATGTAATTTTCACTAACTTTAAAGTCAGTTAGTGTCTTTGAAAAATGTTCTTACACATTTTGAGTTTCCAGATCTATTTTTTATTGAGATGGGTTGATTCTGAGAGATGTTAATGAAAGTTCACACAGCGGAGATCAGAAGCTGGCACTGAAAGCTTTATCCTGTCTATGAGACTGCACTTAGCCTCATTTCCGCAAGAACAGTGAGACTGAGACAGCTAATACAGTTATGTTTTCTGTCATATACACTGTAAGATATAGATCTGCTGCACCAAAACAATTATTTTATAAACATTTAGTTTAGTTTTCAATAATGAAAGTGAATTAAAACAACAGGGAAACAGATTTGGCTTTGGTTCAGAATTAAAAGGATGTGAAAAAGCTGCTCTAAGGATGAAGTAGCACTTCTCATCTCAGCTTTCTCAGTTGTATAGTCCCTGTTTTAGCATTTTTACTGTTTTATTTTAATAGATAGCTCATCAAAGAAGCGTATGCTGTACATGAGTCTTTAATTTAAATTTAGTATGTTTTCTATTTTCCTTAACGATACCTAAAGAAGAGTTACAGCTAAGCTAAAAAAACAAATTTTAATTGTTTTTCCTAAGAAGATTTTTCAGTTAGAAATTACATCGGCACTCTCAAAAGATTACACCATGTTAAGTTGTAAAAAAGTGGTGTTTTTAAAACATATCTATTATATACAGTGAGGAAAATAAGTATTTGATTGCTATTTTGAAAGTTTTCCCACTTTGAAATCATGTCTGACATTGTCATCAAAGGTGCATGTCCAATGTAAGAGACATAATCTAAAAAAATAAAATCCAGATTTTGTCCTGAGAACACAATCCCAACTATGAAGCACAGAGGTGGCGGTATCCTGTTGTGGGAATATTTGATTATATAAAGGATCGATGCACTTAACAAAATAAAACTGCATCATGAGGAACAGATGTACTGTCAAATTTAGGGCTGAAACAATTAATCAGAATAATCTTGATCAATTGATTATCGTCAATTAATTTAGTAATCAATTAATCGTTAACTGGAGTATAGAGACTCTAAAACATGCCTTTAGCTGACAGTGCAACTCTCTCAGAGCAGTAACTATGAAAATAGTAAAAATTTAAAAATATTTTGCATTTAAGATAAAAAAACGTTTTCATCTGTCAATATGCTCTATCCAGAACTCCTAAAGTTGAAACGTTTAAGTTTCACCTGGTTTAAATCTGTAAAAAATCTTCTTTAAACAACCTTTTCCTATCCGATTATTAATCGATAATCAACAAAATAAGGGACAGATTAATCGATAAGCAAAAATAATAGCGCTTATTAGTTAGTTAATATATATATATATATATATATATATATATATATATATATATATATATATATATATATGTACATATAAAAAGACATTAAAGATTAACTTTCAACCAAAACATTAAGAAGAGTAACTTCACATTTTGAAGTAGCCATAAAAAAAAGCTTTGATCACACAGAACATGCATGGACAGAGCTGAAAAGTGTAGCATGATGACCTAAAAAACCTGACTGTTACCCCAGTTCTGTCAGGAGGAGGGGGCCACAATTAGAGCCTATTAGTGTAAGGAGTGTGTGGAGCCGGCCCTGAAAGTTGGGATCCTAATCATACAGTTAAATGGTAATTCTCCAAACCCTACAGGAAATGCAGCTTAAGCAAATATTCAGGATTGGAAGAATTAACTCAGCTCAACTCTCATCCAGTGGCCCTCTGATGCTGCACTGCTGCAAGCCAATCAGCCCAGTGCAGGTCTCCGCCATGGCTAATCATCATCTAGGATTCTACTTTAAAAAAAGGGACTGTTCTGTCATTGTCTCTGAGCTCCAGAAGGCTGCAACCCTCTTCCACCATCATCCTCATTTCCATCGGGCTCCCCTTCCTCCTTTGGCCTCCATTCCACCACCAGTGAGAGACGCAAATTCATCTGCTCATCATCATTACATCATATTTTTCTATGCTAACGTCTTCCACTGGTGCCTGAGTGCCAATGGCTACAGTTCTTATTTCAGTAAGACTTTCATTGTTGCTTGTCTTCTGTGTGAGTGTTTGTATGTGAAAATATATGTTTAAATATACATTTAAAGAAAACAAATCTAAAAATACTAAATTATCTAAAACAGGAACTATAACTCCAGACGGTGAGCTGTCTTCTTACAGTGGTGTCAAACAATCTTTAGATAAAGGTCAAATCATCGCCAACTAAGATAAAATAAACTGATTGATTATTTTGGTAGATGGACAATAAAATCTCTGTTGATGTTTTGAAAATAAGAATATATACATTGATCATTTTTCTGTAAAACAGATACTCATCTATCCAAGTATATCTATCCATTATAAACACATGGCAAAATGAATCTATTCACCTTTAATCCACTTTAAACACGTGTCCTAAATATGTCAATAATGAAATATCAGTAAGTTAGGGGAGCTGTGTTTCACTTCACAACACAAGGTTTTATTCACCTATAAAAAAGACGTGTCTCCACGACCTGTTCTGAATACATGCTGCAAGCGGTTACCATTCCTGTCAGGTTACAACAGGTAAAAACATTCAAAGTGGCATCAGCTTCTAACACAAAAAAACACAAATTATACATTTTAGGGATGCACGATATTGGGATTTTGGCCGATATCCGATATGCCGATATTTTAAAACTCATGTAGCCGATAACCCATATCGATACCGATGTTAAAGCTGGACAAAAATAAGTAGTCATTGAAAATAGCAGTTTTGTTATCCATTTCTGACACTTTGAAAAACAATATACTCAAATATATTTCCATATGCTAATATCAAATAGATTTTTTAAAACGCGGTATCGATCTATTTTACTTTCAAAATCTTGTGACATTTCATCGTTCTGTTACAAACATCCCTAATACATTTCATTCAACATGTTGATTTCTTCACCATCTGACCTAATTTGTTCTCTTGGGCTTGTGATTGCAAAGCAGCTAAACCAGGTGTAAAATCAACCCACAAATCCAGTTTTTTGCCACTCACCACATCCGTCTGTGGGCCTTTCTATATGGACCTGCTACCACTTAGGGCAACCAGTGAGCTGCATTCAAGACATTCCCTCAGAGACTAACTAAAATCCAAGTGTGAATGAGTTGAGTTTTGCATAGTTTTTCTCTTCTTTAATTTATTTCACAAGAGCGCACTGTAACATCCCGGAACGTAAATTGTATTTGCAGAATGATGTAAATGGTGGAGATGTGCAGGAGATGCCTCTTGTTTATAAAGAAAAGCCAAGAACAAAGATAAATTATTCAGCGGCTCCCAAGACGGAGAATCAGTAAAGGCTGTAAAATATTTCATGATTACAATGTAGGCAGAGACAAAAAAAATAAACTAAACGTAGCAAATGTTAAATAATTCTCCAACCCTGAATACAGCTAGGTTCACAAATGTTTTATTTGTATGGGTAACAAAAGAGAAAAAAAAAATAAAGTTAACTTTTAATGAAACCTTCTGACAGTTTGAAGGACTGCGCCTTAATATTTAAACAAAATTATGACAACTAAATAGATTTGCATGAAAATGACTGCAAATGATGGTTTATGATGACCAGAGAAGCTGTTGATGTTTAGATCTTCACCTCTCGCTGGGTTGGTTGGCAGGTGGTAACAGCTTGCTGCTTGATTGTGGTTGACATCACCTGAACGATGCAACACCCCTGACGCCGCTGCAAAGAGGGCAACGGCCACACCATTCCAGTCTTTGGTTTCCTGTCAAAAGTCCAGGTTTTTGTTGCCAGAAGCACTGGAGCCACAGGCAGAAGCTACTCCTGCAAGCTCCCCCCTGCTGACACGACTCACTGTCTCGGACAAGTCCGGAGGCAAATGCAATCGCTAGGAGAGAGGCAGAGAGAGAGAGAGAAATGGAGTGTCAGAGCAAAACCAGTAGCCATACAGTAGATCAGCATACAGTAGGTGGTAGACGCCAGTGGTGCTTATTCATAGAGAGCCATGTTAGGTTGAAATTGCATTAGATGCTTCAGCACTCCCTTTAACACTGGCAGCATCGAGGAAATCTGCTACCTTGTTACTAAATGCTTCACAGAGCTTTAGGTCTGTTAGACCTCGCAGGAATAAAACCAGAGGCACACAAGTGTTTCAGATTTTATGGAAATATAACGATAATAAAATAAAAACCCTGAAAATGAAAGAAAGGAAGGAAATGTGTGTGATCTGGGACTAAAGGACAATAAATACCCAGATAGTAATTTCTTCAAAAATTAACAATGCCAGAGTTGTTACAATCAGCTTTTTTAGCCATTTCACAGCAAAGCCTCTCTTTACTCAATGCACAATAACACTAAGGGGTTAATGAGGGACACTCATGTAAGCCTCCCTTTACACCAGCATACAGTGAAGGGGCCACACTTCCAAGCTCTCAGCAGAATCAACAAGAAAGGCCACCGACGGACCGTAGTGAACAAGGTCCTGAAGGGCCCTCGACTGCCTAAGAGGAGGTAATGTGTCTTCCAAGTCAAGTGCCCCCCCCCAACCAATTGTGTTGTTTAGCACGTTGCTCGAGTGTCTGTCAAGGAAGTTAAATCAGAACGCAGCTATTCTTTGGGACAAGAGAGGTTAAACCCTGTAATTTGCCCTGAAAGAATCTGCCATGACATTTGAAACCCTCTGGTCAAATCCTATGCTCCCTCCCAATACAAACCAGATAAAGCTGCCTGCCCGCCACATCCGCATCCCCTCTAGACATCCAGATTTACAGGAGAGCTCTTCTACTCCCACAGATACTTATCTTTTTTCCTAAATGACTAGGTGTTTGGGTACAGGGTTTGGGGAAGTTTTACTTAGAGATAATTCAGGACTACGTAATGTTCTTCATCCCTTTAGGGTAGGCTACTTCCACCCACCATTCAGTCTTGTTTTTAGAAACACCTGAGGTTGTTGTAATATTACTGATGCTTTTTTTCTGATATGAAGGCTTGGGTTTCTGCTGATGCAAATGAGAATTTAGAGATGCTAAGTTGGTATTTTTCCTACTCATACTATAGCATCTAGTCTTTCGAGGATGGATCTTTTGAGGATGGAGTAGATATTACTAGCAGCCTCCTTAAAGAACTAGTTGAATAATTTTTGGTAAAAACACATGTTGTGGTTTGTAACAGTGCTTTTACTTAGAACACCATAAGCAGTCTGCACTGATGTATGCCCAGACTTAACAGATTCTTGGACTTCAGTCTTGGGTAATTCTCTCAAGTAAAATGACTCTTAGGCTACGTTCACACTGCAGCCTGAAGTGACCCAATTCCGATTGTTTTGCCCATATGCAAACTGTATCTGATCTTTTCATGACAGTCTGAATAACACAGATCCGATTTTATTAAATACGACCCAAGCCACTTGGCTTTGTTGCCCTAAATCCGATACATACTTTTCAAATTCAACCTGTGTCTGAACAGCCAGGTCGCTTTCATCTGAGCTAAACATCATTAAGACTGATTAAAGGTCATTATTCTACGTCTTGCTGTGCAGAAGAAGCAAGAAAAACAACAACCAGGGCGGACGATGCGGAGAGAAGTATTTATGTTTAACCATCTTGAAAGGTTACAAGGTTAGGAAAGATCACTAGATGCGCTCCAGCCCTACCATCCATGTTTACTTCCGTAAACACGGAACATGCTTGCTTGTGATGTCATTGCGTCCTCTACTGGGCATGCAGGACACTTAGGTTGTGTGAATGCAGTTCACACAAGAGATCACATACAAGTCACATATATTTGGAAATATGAACGGAACGCAAAAAATTTCGATTTCACAAAAACATCGTAATTGAGCATTAAGGCCTGCAGTGAGAACATAGCGTAAGTCTTCAACTTCCTTTCAGGAGATTTTGCACTTTATAAATATTTGAGAACAAAATGTTTATCTTACATCTGTCCAAACAGTAGTTATTAATACTGCTTTTAGCAGTGGTAATGGAACAACAAATTTCTAAAATCTGCTTTAATTTTTCATAGTTTGAGGCCATTTAACTTCCATGGTGTCTGGACAAATTAAGATTAGGTCTATTTTAAAATTATATCTCTTAGACTTGAAAAGATGAATCATAGATTCAATGCAGTTTCTTTAATGTGCAGTTTCAAAAGTAGTAACTATATTTCATAAAAATACTGAAAAAATTGTAAAACTGCACTTTTCAGTTCCTCAGTATGGTATCTCTAAAAAGCCAGCAAACAAAAACCCTGATTGGAATTAAAACAAAGAATTAAATTTAAATTTGAATCAATGGGAAAACAATTGGCTCTTATTAAGCATAATTAGAATTTTGACCTTTGAAAATAAAGAAAGGAAAAAAATTTAGAACTCAAACATTTGTTTCTTGCTCAAATTTTCCTCTCTTCCTTTGTACACTCCTGGAAAACGAAAATCACTACATCAATACGTCTCAGACTTTTCCAACTTGTAATGGTGGTTCTTAAAAAAGAACGAAACTGACAGAAAGATTTTTTTTTCACCATTGATAATGGGAGATCCATTTAATCTTAGACTCTTTATGCTACTTGCATTGATTTCTAGACAATGAATTATTTGGTTTTGAGACAGCGGTTTAACTTTGAAAGATTGAATGTGCAGGAGATTGTTGGCTTGATTTCTAAAATATACACAAACTTAGTAGGCAAACAGAGGTTTTGACTGTTTATGACTGAAGTATTTTGAAGTTACACAAAAGGAGAAAGAGAATGTTGTTGCCAAACAGGAGCCTTGGTATCAATATGTTATTTACTTCAAGAACAGGAGTCACATCAAGGTAACTAGAATGATAAAAAAGCAAAGAAAGACTGTGGAAAATATGTTAGTAAGACAACAAAGTTTCTCAACTCCGCTTTGCCACCTACACTATCCCATATGCACACAAACATCTATGGAGTCCTCTGTAAGCCCTGCTTCTCTTCCATCCCTGCCAACCCTCACCTGGGTAACCTTTCGTGTCTTCAGCTCACTCAAGTGTGATTGAAAAAGAAAAACAATGCATTGATCAAGCCTGGACTCAGTCCTGCTTAGCGCACTGCAGCAGAAACATGGCACAGAGAGGGAAAAAAATCAATCACATATACATCACCCTCGCTGGGTGAGTTAAAAAAATAAATAAATAAAAGCAGTGTTGTCTGTCTGCCACGCACCCACGGGCCTGCCTCTCTTTGGCTCTGAGCTTTGAGAACCCACTGAGCATGTGCAGAGCGAAGGTCAAAGCAATCCAGAAGTGAAGCTCCACTTCTCTAACCTTTGAGTTCAGGGGCAGATGAGAACAATCAATGGTAACATCAAAGTTGGAGGGAGGAGCAGACTAAACCAATCGATCCGTTTGGCACACTGAGGGAACAGGGAGCCTTGCAACAGTCGACAACCATCACAAATATCAGCGGCAGGCAATGTTGGGATTATCAATCTAGAAAAATTACTTCAAAACACCTTGTATACATTTTTGTACCAGGAAAGATTAAAAGATATTGTGATCCTGTTTAGATATTTACATCCAAAGCAATGAACATTTTACTAGGACTACATACAAGCGTGGATATCAGATATATGGGCTTTTGCACAAGGCTTAGAGAGAGTTAGTCAGAGAGGCTCTGAGTCGGCTTTTCTGCAACCTGCACACCCCATGATGTAAACAAGGACATCCGGAAAACCCTCAGAGGCATAGCAGGGTGGGTGTTTGTGTGAGATCTTTTCTCTGCTGCCTGGCAACCTTAGTAAGTGTAGAGAAAGAACAGAGAGAGAAAAAAAAAGTCCAGGGTGGTGGAGGGGCGATGGTGGCTGTTAGATGGGAGTGGACGGCGGGAAAAAGGACCACTGGTTGGGCTGCATTGATTGAAAGCGGGGTGGGGAGGGAATGTGAAAATGGATGTGTGCCACAATCGCAGTGTGATTTTGTATGTGAAGTCACTGCTCCCTAGTTGGTGGTAATCAGTGAGATCTAGTTTCGTCTCTCAGCCAGAGGGGCTTGGGCCATGCTGGCAACAGGGCGAGGGGCGACAAAGCTCCAAACGAGCGCTAAGCACTTCATATGAGCCCCAAGGGCTGGCCCAAAGTCTAGCTTAGCCTAAGAGGGTTACTGATATCACTTACTAAACATCCAAAACATGCAATACTTAAAGCGTTAAGCAACTCATTATGCTTGGTCCCTCATAGGTTTCTAATATAGCTTTGTAGCTATGCATAACTTATGGGTCATGGAATGTGTGATATTCATTTTCAGACGGGCAGCTACAAAGGAGCCACTCGCTCTCAAAAAAAGCTAACACCATCAAAGGCATTCCACTTATGCTAACAGGTTGCTAATGAATGGAGTATTAGGTGCTAATTTAACGAGTCATTTGTTCTATAGACTTTTGGCCACACTTGCAAATGGTCTGTTTCACTGTACAATTTAGAAGTATAGGAAACCCAACACCTTGTTAGAACACATGACCACAGCCATGGCTGTTCCATTCAGATTAGCTGTGGGAGGAACTTGTACATGGAAGTGACAAAACATTTACCTTGAATGCAACCATGACAACATCCCTGCTGAGATGGTGTCCTTTCTTTCAAAAGCTTCAGTGAATGAGTGAAATACAAGTGGAGGATTTAACATAGTAATAGTAAATAAGCAGTTTGGATTTAAAATGAGACAAAGAAAAACAGGAAAAGCCTGATACTGTACTAATTGATATAAACTCAAAGTACAACAAAATAAGCAGCTGATTTTGTCATTTCTGTTGCCTTGTGTAGCACAGCTGCAGCTCAGCTTCTGTAAACTAATATGTCTGACCCTGACGCAGGGTCAGTGTCCTCTATTTCAAGCCCCATTTCGACAACCAGCTACGGGTCAAAACAGC